GCTACAATCAGCTAATCGTATCATGAATGAAGTTTTTTTCATTTCATTTGGGTATGTTTCTTCAAATTTGGTCCATAATGCTTCTTTTTAGTCTTGTAAATATAATATTGTCAAATTGGTTTTGGAATCAACTTTATATGAACTCATGGTTACATTACTTTTGTCCTGAAAAAATAATTCAAATTCTCTTTCTTTAATTTCAGACATATGATGAATTTTTCGTTTTAGTTTTACAATAGCCATTACACCTGGACCATTAAGTCTAGCATATTTGCATGCTGAATTTATAGTATTAGGGCTAACTATATAATAAAAAAATACTTAAGGATGAAAAAAAAAATGAAGAAAATAATTATGAGCAAAAAGTGACAAAGGAAACCGATCAGGAATGAAAAAAATCAATTAAGAGCAAAAGGAAATGAAGAAAATTGATAGAAGTAAAAGAAAATGAAGGAAATCAATCAGGAGTAAAAGGAAATGAAGAAAATCGATCAGGAGCAAAAGAAAATGAAGGAAATCAATCAGGAGTAAAAGGAAATGAAGGAAATCGATTTGAAGCAAAAAGAAGATGAAGGACATTGATTAGGGCAAAAGGAGATGAAGGGCATTGATCAGGGGCAAAAGGAGATGAAGGAAATTGATCAGGAGTAAAAGAAGATGAAGGAAATTGATTAAGGATAAAAGAAGATGAAGGAAATTGATCAGGAGCAAAAGGAGATGAAAGAAATTGACTATGAGTGAAAGCAGATGAAGAAAAACTGATGAGGAGCAAAAGGAAATGAAGAAAATTGATCAGAATGAAAGGAAATAAAGGAAATTGATCAGGAAAAAAATAGGATGAAGGAAATTGATCAGGAGCAAAAGGAGATGAAAGAAATTGATTATGAGTGAAAGCAGATGAAGAAAAACTGATAAGGAGTGAAAGGAAATGAAGAAAATTGATCAGAGATGAAAGGAAATAAAGGAAATTAATCAGGAATAAAAGAAGATGAAGGAAATCAATCAGGAGCGAAAGGAAATAAAAGAAATTGATTATGTNTGAAAGTAGATGAAGAAAAACTGATAAGAAGNGAAAGGAAATGAAGAAAATTGATCAGGGGTGAAAGGAAATGAAGGAAATCAATCAAGAAGTGAAAAGAAATGAAGGAAATCAATTAGGAGCAAAATGAAATAAACAGAATGATTAGGAGTGAAAGGAGACAAAGAACCTGATCAGAAGCAAAAGGAAACGAAGAAAACTGATCAGAAGTGAAAAAAAGTCAAAGAAAAAATTATCAGGAGCAAAAAAAAGTGAGTGAATTGTTCAAAATAATAATTTTATACCTGAAGTTTTTCACGAAGTTCATCATAACGGAAGTTTTCTGCTATTATTGATAAAATTCTTATTTTTCCATCTATACCATGTTTATTATTATCCAAGGCACATTTGAAACTTTCCCAAAATTTTATACTCCTATCTATAATTATTGAAGAATTATTTTTTAAATAAATTAACCCGGCATTATATAAATTCAATAAAGTCTCTTTATCAGCACTTGGATCTGTTGCTCTACTCCAAAATTCAATATTTGATTTCTTGCTTCTTTTCAAAAGGTGTAACATTGGTACATCTACAAGCTATAAGCATAGCTTTTCATGCACATAACTCTTTATGATGAAGTTGATAATCAACCGGGTAGATATTTTGCAATGCTTTTGGAATTTGAATAATTGTACTTTCTTNAGATAACCAATCTATAAATAAANTTTGCCAATTATCCAATAGTGCTGTTATTCCAATTTTTCTAGATTTTATATGACGATCAAATGCTTGCTGTAAAATTTCAAAATTATTCNATTCATCCACTNTGNATATACGAAGAATATTATTTTTAGGTGGATTTTGTAAAATAGTTTGTACAGATGAATGTGTTATTCCAAATAAATCAATCCCATCAAATTTTTTATTAATACCACTTTTTTTCCACACGTCAGTTGGAGTTTCATCCTCAAATTGAGCTACTATATTTGATTCATGATAAATTCTAAGTATACAGGTGTTATTTTCAATTC